GCTTCCAAGATGGAGAACTGGTGCTGAAGCAGCCATGTACTTTTTAAAACACCAATACTAGACAAATCTGTATTTAAATCCTGACTCCAGCCAGGCATGGTGGCAATACACTCATAATCCCAGCACTCAGGAAGCAAGACAGGCGAATCCCCATGAGTTCAAGGCCAGCTTGAACTACACAAGACCCTGTCTCAAAAGAAAAAAAAAAATCCTTACTCCAATATATATTTTTGCAATACTAGCTATAATACCAGTATCTTTAAGTTCAATTCATTCATAGGATGCTTTGCACAATAGTACATAATCAACAAATGCAGCTACTACTGTTAATGCAAGAGAACAAACAAATACCATTTTCTGAAAAACTCCTATAAGCCAGGCACTGTATTGCTTACTTATATAGTTTAGCTCATTTAATCTCCCAACTATCAAGCAAAATAGTTAACACTATTTCCACTGTACAATTGAGGACAGTAAGACTTACAGGTATTCAATTCTTTGAGGGGCTCTGTTCTTCTCTGCCATGGTTTGAGGGCCCACATTTGTCCCACTTGACTGATTCACTCATCAGCCACAGGGTATATCAATAATTTTTCAATTTCAATTATTCTTTTGAGGTAAGGTGTGATTTTAACCAAACTAACTCAGTCTTGAACAATAACTAAATCTATTTTAAATCGTACAAATTTGTTCTCTCTCTCTCTCTCTCTCTCTCTCTCTCTCTCTCTCTCGTGTGTGTGTGTGTGTGTGTGTGTGTGTGTGTGTGTGTGTTTACTCAGTAGTGAACCCCAGGATCTTCACAATGAGCTACATCCCCAGCCCTTTTTAATTCTGGCAGGGAAGGAGGGGTTTACCAGGAATCCAACTCAGGACCTTGCACTTGCCAGACAGGCACTTATACCACTGAGCTATTGCCCCAGCCCCTAATTTTTTTCATTTTTTATTTAGAGACAGGGTCTCAGTAAGTCATTAAATTGCCCATGCTAGACTTGAACTTGCAATTTTTCTGACTTAGTCTCTCAGAGAGTCAGGACTACAGGTGCACACCACATGCGTGGCTATAATTTTTTATATTTTAAAAGAAAAACAAAGCATAGCCCTGAGCATAAAAGCAGAAACAGGAAGAGGTGCCTTGGATTAAAGCAACTGCAGCGAGAGGAGCTCAAAGCCTTTTCTTCAACAAAACTGCAGCAGTGCAAACCTTTCCCATCTTACAGAGTGAGAAACTGACAGAAGGCACAGGTTACAGTCAGCTCTTGCTCAGGTCCCCAAAGGTATGTTTCCTGTTACAATCTATGCCTTGGCAAATGCTACTCCCTTTGTTTTAGAGCACACTTCCATTTTTCACCACAAAAATCATCGCTCCTTCAAACCCAGAACAAATTTCCTTTTCTCTGATAAAATTAATTGCTTAAGTGTGTCTAAGAAACACGTTTTTTGTTTTCTTTTGTGGTACTGAGGACTGAGCCAAGATCTTTGCATTAAGATACATCTCTACCATCTTGTATATTTTGAGACAGGGTCTCACTAAATCACTAAATTACCCAAGCTGGGCTCAAATTTATAATCCTCCTGCCTCAGCCTCCTGAGTAGCTGGGATTATAAGTGCACACCCTCACACATGATTAAGTTTATATCGTAAGGTGTCAAATATTTATTTCTCTTACTAGTAGTAATTTTCAAAGAGTTAAGGGGAAAGATTGGAAGACATGTGTGTACTTGTTTATTTTTCAAAAAGCATATTTAATACAATTCTTTGACTTGTTTTTTCGTCAGACCCTTTCACACATTTTTAAATGCATATATATTAAAGAAAAGTAAGACATTAGTTTTCTACAGTGAATGCATTTTAAAAGCTGAGAAATGCTGAATTAGATCTTTGAGGGCAAGGACTACATTTTATTCATTCATATGTTCCTTAGGGTCAGGCACAAAGTGTGAATATAAACTTGAATGAATTAACATGCCTAAAATCATGTTGCCAACTGCTCTGGAATTAGAACATACCAGAACAGCACACAGCCCAAGCACCAACAAAGGTTCTTTTCTTTCTCTATCATTCTCTAAGCCCACCCAATCTGTCTTTCAGGGAGAGAGCAGAGAGAGACAGAGACAGAGACAGAGAGAGAATGAGAATGAGAATATTGCCAGAATACTATTAAAAGGATTAATTTAGGGACCAGTGTTTGGCCTGTCATATCCAATCACTACCCACAGATCTACAGCTTCCCAAATCAAGCTCATGCAAAGAGGAATCAATCGCAAGGACACAGAGGGTCTGAACAGGCATACTAATGGCCTCCTGAGGTGCCAGCGGCCAGCTTTGACACTCCCATAAATTATCTGCCTTTTGATTTTACCTGTAGCTGTGAGGCACAAGGCACAATTTTGAACATAACAAAGCAATCCCTCCTTAGTAACCCAAGGCTCCCCAAGGAATGTCCCCCAAGGAGAAAAGGCTAAAAACAACAACCCAAAGGAAATCTGCTTCCCAGCAGGTCTGGTCCTTGCAGTCAACAATTAAAACCCAACAGAACCAAATGGATAAAGGAGAATTCAAATCAAACTTAGTAGATCTAAACGAGCCATTCATCAGACTGCAGTTTTGCAATGACTTCGCATCTCTCACTCAAGGGAAGAGAAATTACAGCAATAAAATAACACAATTTTATCTGGAGACAAATTTGCACTAGCTTTTACAGTACCTCACAGCATGATTTTGGGCAACTCACTTAACTTTCTTGGGCCTCAGTTGCCTCACAAGACAGCAAAGAAACAAATGCTGATCACCTGATCTACTTCCTAGCATAGAAGTAAAAAGTAATTTAACAACAACAACAACAAAAAAAAAAAATTGCAGAGGCACTTCACAAAGATAGAGGACCACAAGGATGGCAACACTAATAAATAACCTCAGACCGGGAGAAATCACTGGTCACACTTTGATGAATTCTATTGGGAAGCCACTGACTTAATTCATTTTATAGATGGTATTGAGACTACCCTGAAAAAAGGTCCACCATAAAAAAGTTCTGGAATGGAAATCTTGATGTGTGCAAATCTTCATCATGAAAAGCAGTAGAGTTATATTATTAACTTTTCTCCTGGTGCTACCAGCACCAGGTGCTGCATTTCTGTCACATGGACAAAATGACAACTGTGTAGACCTAAAACATACTAAACCAAAGGCCAAGTCACTCAACTACTGTCTCTTTTTAAATAATTACTAATTGTGTGAAATACTAATAATAAAACATAGGAGGAAGAGACTCTGCTAAGAACTTTACGTATCTTAGTAAAGCCTTTCACAAACCCATTATCTCCACTTTATAGATAAGAAAAGTGAAGCTCAGAGATAATCACTTGTTCAAGGTCACATAAAGATTATCAGAAACCTATAAGCTTCCCTCCAGCAATCCAAGTACACCAGGGCTCACAGGAAGAGGAAGACAAAGGGGAAAAGCAGGTACAGCACTCACTAGACCCTCATGAACCTACCATTACACATTCAACAAACACTTTATCTGCTCCTTGTGCCCACATGTACCACCATACCTGAACTGGGAGACTTTCCGAAACTCAAGAAAAAATGATTAGTCTGCTATAAACAAGGAAGGAGAGATTGTGTAGGACAATACAGAACGAGGACAATACCTAGAAAGCTTACAAATACGGGTCAGTTTCTGTGTGTACAGTTCAAGAAGTTTGAAGCAACTGATACTAACCTATAAGCCCTAAAACCAAGATCTCTCCCAGGGCTCCATTTATTCTACATTTCCTTTAATAGAAAATAGTTTCCAAAATTTTTTAATTCATTCTACACCAATTTTCCTTCCTATATCTCTTCTGTCTGTAAAATGGGACCTAATACATTCTTTGGTAGACGTCTTCTAAGTTCCAACAGATGGGCAAAAAGTTACTAAAGAAAACCAATATGTACATGTATGCAGATTTAGTGATATTGAGGATCTTTTTGTTGTTGTTATTTTGTTGTTTGTACTAGAGTTTGAACTCTCAACCTTATGCTTGCCAGGCAGGTGCTGTGCCACTGGGCTATATCCCTGAGCCCATACTTAGTGTTTAAGGACCAAAATACTACCACAAAAGGGGAAATACAAAGTGCTACCAAATTAACCACCACACCCTCCTTAATGGTCTACTTCCAGTATTACCTAATCCAATCAATCCATTCTTCACACTAACATCAAACTTTCTACAACATAAATTTAATGTCAATCATCTACCATTAAAACCAACAGCTTCTTACTGCTAAATCTCATCCAGGGTCACCAAACTATAGTCCATTTGCCAAATCTATGTGCTACCTTTTTTTATAAGTAAATTTTTATTGGTACACAGCCATGGTTGTTCTTTTTTATACTATGGTTATCTTCATGCAAACTGCACAACTGTGTAGACTACCTGTGACAGAGACCCATGAAACCCTAACATTTTCTATCTCATCCTTTATGGAAAAATTTTGCAACTTCTCATCTTTTTTTCCACTCTCCACTCACTACCAGTCTAATCCTAAATCTACTTTTTCAACCAGATCCTGGTCTTGGCGAAATGGAGATAGGTTAGGACTAGCCATCTATTCAAAGACGACACAAAATTCAAGTTAAATCAAGGTCCCAAAGACTGGTCAGATATATTATCAAGAACCAAATGAACATGTTTCTTCCAAATATATTAAGATGTATATTTCTTAAATAAAGGACTAATTTCTGTCTCTATTCAACCATCCTGAACCTAAAGCAAGTGCTCATGAGATACCGGTTACAGAAATCATGACAGAATTAGAGAATCTGGATTCCCCACCTCCAACTCTGAACTCCACAAATGTTGGGTAAACTTCAATAGGTTTTGAGCATACGTTGTCTTATCAGAAAAACCTACATAAAAATATAATCTGCACCAACCCCCACCCCGTATCACCAAACTTAAACACTCAAAAAGAAGAAGTTAAGCCAAACTTGACCATGCAACAGAATTCTCACCTCTTCTTACTTCGAAGATGCCAAGACTGGCAGCTGGGGATGGCGAAGGTTCTGTGAGAGCTGGAAAGCCCCAATGCTGTGGACAAACATATGTCTCTGCAACAAGTCTATTTCAATACAAAAGACCAAGTCCCCACTAAGGATTACACTACTCTTGAAACTCCTAAACTCCAACTTTGGCAGAAAGCTGTTTATGTAGAAAAACATTGCCCTTACAGAGCTTTCAAAAGCTATCAGAGACTCATTTGCTTGTGGAACAACATACACACACATTCTCTAGTAGCAAACTTTTCTTCCTAAGAAGGCTTATTTCCTAGAAATCCCAAATATTTACAGTATCTGTGTCTGGACTGTGAAAGGACATAAAGTGGTGGCTGCAGAATAATTTTTAGAATTCTATTTCCACAAGAAGGAGACAGTGTTAGTAACAGAAGTTAGGAATTGAGGCTGGACCTCAGGACTGGGGAAAATGTGTTGCCACAAATCTCCAGGCCATAATGCAAATGGCCTTATAGACCAAGAAATACTTTTAAGATACTTCTACATCTCTTCTCTCTCAAGTTCTAAGAAAGTCAAAGTAACCAAATCCCAAGTCAAAACATAAAATTATACTTATAACCTAACTCAGATCTTCCAAAGGACAAGAAGCTGAAGAGATCATGTTGTAAGTTAGTGATGCCTTCTCTACAGAAACATCTATGATTGGAACCAACATATTCCTTTCTGCCATTTACACATTTTAGTCTTTATTCTACTTTAGTACTCTGAGAAAAGGTCATTCAATAACTTACCCCAACTCAGAGAAAAACACTTTTCAAAATGAAAGGGAATAAAAGCACCTTTATTTGTAATTTTCAAATAGGAAAGAGAGCTCTGAGCCAAGCTTATGACCTAGCTAGCTGATTATTTACAGGATCTTTGGGCAGGAATTGTTAATGAGCTTTTAATTTGGAGTGCTTAAGTTGCCAAAGAGCTCTGAGCTCCAGTGAAGCACCACAGAATCCATAAAGGAAACCTTATCAATCACTTCCCGGCAGCTCCCTTCCCCCCTCTGCACCTCCTGAGGAAAGGCAGCCAAGTGGGTTTCTAACCAAGATCACAGACACATATTAGCAGAGTCACACTCCAAATCTCTGTTTATAAATTGGCTTTTAAATGGTAGGGGAGTCAGGTATAATATACTTAAGCTCCAAGAACGAGCCCACTACAACAAGGTATGCTGTGTATGATAAAGTCAGAATAAATCAGAATTTGATGAAGCCAATTGCTCAAAAACTCTACAATCAAAAGTCATTCAACCAATCACAATCCACTATCCTTTAAATAGAGTATACTCTAACCAATGGGGTTCAAGCTTTGCTGCTCTTATGCTCAGAAATATCTAAGAGCAAATGCTACAGAAGTGAGCAGAGACCTCTAGTAGACATTCATGGTCAGTCTGTTGCAAAATCCAACCCTAACAACAAACTCCACACCTGCAATTCAGTATCTCCCAGGTCACCAAGGAGAGTTATATTGTGCAAGAATTCACAGCCAAGCCTCAGTCCAAGTTCATGTCTTTCTGTTCTAAGAAAACACCTGTTGCTGAAACATTTGTAGGAAGGCAAACAAACCTAGCCAGATTAAGCCTTTCTTGACTCCTTCCACCATCTCTACTTCCACTACTTGGGATTTACAGAGCTAACCTGCTAACTTGTGTGTGCGCATGTGTTGTGATTTTATCTGTCTCCTTGCTGTTTCTAACCTCTCTGGTCAAACCGTTCTTCCTCTTCTCTAGTAACCCCAAGAAGTCAGTCTCCTTAATCAACTCACCTACTCTGTCCTGCAAAACCCTGCCCCACTCCCCCTTCACCAGAACATTACTCAGTAGATCATGCATCCAAAATGAGCACAGGGGTAAGCACCCCACGCTACCCAAACTATGCATACCACGACTCTACACCCAGCATGCATAAACCAGGGCCCAAAGTGGGGGAGGGGGACTATCAGCATCACCCACCCCAGGATGTTGCCCCCAACTCGGGCCCATCCAAGTCCAGGGGAGAGTAAGGGGAGGGGCAGGGGGCCAGGCGACCAGCCCTCCTTCCCAGGGCCGCCCCCGCCCCCCGTCAGCTGCGGGAGAGGCTGTCGCCATGGCAACGCCCCCTCCTAGGGGCTAGTGCGGCAGGCTCCCTCCAGATGAAGGCCCCGACGTCTCCCTCTGCCTCAGCAGGAGCTTAGAGCAGTTGACGGCGGCGGGCACGGCCCGCGCCGAATGCGGCGCCGGCCAGGCAGAGGCTGGGCCAGCTCTGCCCGCTCCCCACCGCCCGTTCCTGGCCGCTTCAACAGCGGCAGCCAGCACCACGAGTCCACAACACACCGACTCACCTCCGCGCACTCTGACCCCGATCGACGTGAAGGACGGGCGGGCGCGATGGCCAACCGGTGAGCCAGCCGTCGGCCCCTTTGACCAATAAGCTGACATGGGGCCGGGCTTCTTAGCTCCAAAAGCTACCTCTCCCGACGACATGCGCGCTAACGTGTGCCAACATGGCGATTGGCAGAGACTGGCCTTATGGGACTTGTAGTTTTGAGATTACACGTTCCCAGAAGAGAAGGGGTCCCTTGGGTACTGCAGTAGGGATTTTTTAAAAAACAAAAACTTCCTCAGTTCTAGAGCGATCCAGGTGCCCCACCTCCGTTTTCTTTCAACATATGCATGAGGTGAATATAGGCCTATAAGCTTACATATTCTGATGGTTCATTCATTCAACAAGTAATTATCATCTACTCTTGGATGTAGGCCTGGGAGAAACCTGGGTGAGGAGGGAAGAAAAAATGGGCTAAGAAGCAAATGCTTAGATTTCTAAAGGGCCTTTCTAAGGAGGAGAGAACTGACTTGTTTTCGGTCCCGTCAGAGGAAATATTGGGGTTAAAAGGATTCTGGCTACAGCTTCCATAGTCTCTCCAGTTGGATGGACAGAACTCTCATCAAGACCAGAGGTATATTTCTCCATCATGGTTATGCCTTTCTGGGAAACCATAAGTACCAGGAAATGAACTGAGAAGCTCAGTTTAACCAAGACAATGATGATTTTGACAGCCTGTCAGTCAATCAGACCCTATCCTATGGGCCAGCTTCAGTTACCAGCTCCTGTCTGCCATTTCCTTATTCTCACTTTGGATGATAATATTCCCTATCACCTCTGAGATCTTGACATAGTGGTTCCTGCCTACACTGGACATACTTGGTAATTCCTATATTAGGGAGTATATTCCTTAATCTCATCAACACAATGAGTTAGTTTATGCTATTATGCCCATACAGAATTGACCAGTGTTTTATAATTATCTATTTCCTTGTCATCACTCCTCCAACACTTTAATCTCCTTCAGTATAAGTATTGTTTCCATATTGTTCATGTATCAGTAATACCCAGTACAGTACCGGACATAAAGCTGGCATGCAAGAACTGCCTGTGAACCAATAAGGAACTAAACAGCAGAAGGGACATGAGAAGGGATGAAGGGAAAAGAACAAATAATAGACAAGTACATATAAAAATAAGAGGCAGGTGCTGCAGCACAAGCCTGTAATCCTAGCTACTCAAAAAGATGAGGAAGAAAGTTTCAAATTCAAGGCAAACATGAATCTAGTTTGCTAGATTCTGTCTCAAAACAAAGATAAGAAAGGCCTGGGGCAGAGTGATCCCAGCATTCAGGAGGCTGAGGCAAAAGGATCACAATGAATTTAAGGCCACAACAAGTTTAAGGCTAAAAACATAAGCAGACCCTGTTTCAAAAAACAAAAAAAAAGGTGGAGGACTGAGGCCTGGGGATGTAACTCAATATAAGTCTCTGGGTCCAGTCCTCAATACCACCCAAAAATAAAATAGAAGACAAAACATGGCCACTTCTATCTCTGGCTTTGTTATATCTTAAATTCTGGCCTAAATGAGACATAGACAACCTTCTTAGCTGTAAGAATTAAATACTTTACCTATCTGGATTGGTGGCCTTCTTTAAGGTCCAACTGAAATACTCTCCACTTAGCCTCCCATGATTAATTTGACTTCCCCCTAGACTGTGATCCTTCCCTTTTGGTGCTCTAGGACTCAATTATACAGCTTCGAGGACATTACCAGGCTGTAAGCTTTTTTTGGACAAACACTAGGCACATGAACTCAAATACTAGAACAATTTAAGAGTTCAATATATACACAGTATCTTGCACTACTATCTAACCCATCGTTTGGCTCCTCAAGTCTTGGCTCTGTGGTGTGTGATTTGATCACCTAGGAAACAGAGCCTGAGCCTGATGTGGTGGCACATGCCTATAACCCCAGCTATTTACAAAGCTGAGGCAGAAAGATCATAAATTTAAAGCCAACCTAGGTGACTTAGACCCTCTATCAAAGTAGTTTAGAAATGTAGCTCAGTGGAAGTGAGCAAGGCCCTGAATTTAACTCCCTGTACTACAAAACAAAACAAAACAAAAAGCTTGAGGCAAAGCTTGTAGGATAAGATTTAACTGGGAAATATAAACCCAGGGCAGCAAGAGTAAGAGGGAAAAGAAGTGAATCAGGGTAAAAGGGAGTGAAAATATAAGGCAGTGTACTACCAGCACTTCAAATAAAACACACTAACTACTCTGTCATACAAATTAATTCTAGATGAACAGTTGAGAAGGATCTCTTCTCAGGGAGAAGGGAAGGCTTGTGTTACCCTACCACTCTGGTAGCCACAGGGGGCGCCAGATTCCACACCCTGAAGCACAATGGTTCATCAAATACTAGAAATGGTGGAAGTCAAATTCTCTGGTTTGGTAAAATTGGTCCCACTGCAGACCTCCACCATGGGCACAGTGAAGGCTGTGTCAAAACCTAAGCCTCATCCCAGAGGAAGCGGAAATAGCCAGATGAGGTGATAATAGCAGCTGGGCTGCCTTGTAAGCTGTGGCCAAGGCCCTGGGTCAAAGTGTAGATGGGGCAAGCATATTTAGGCAGGCAGGAAAGTAAGACAAGTGCACAGTTTCAGACACACCTTGGGAAGCCTTCCAGTTTCCAGACTAATTAACTGACTACAGTGAACCCCGAGAGCAGGAACCAAAGACAGCACCAAACTGGTTGAATTACCCTTCAGCCCACTAGGAAAAAAAACAGCAAGATGGCCATCAAAGCTGGGATGTTAACCAGCAATTCAAGAGCAATGAACACAAGACCCAAGAACAGTGCCTGGCAACCCCCAAACACATACCGTTGGGAGAACCCAGGTATTCTGAAATCATTTTATCTGAGAACTAGAAAAACTGCTGCTGTTATCATCATCACTATAAGCTACATTAAGACGAGACGGCGCAGTTATGAGGCACGCGGGCTTGCAGAGAACCTTTGCAGGTTTGAGCCTTCTATCTGTGATCTTAGACAAGTCACATACCTCTCGGAGATTGTTTCTTCATCTCTAGAGTGAAGATAACACCTATAACCTACCTGCTTTTAGAATAAAATGCGTAAGTGTTAGCACGGTACCTGGCATACAATTCAGTAAATAGTGGCTGTTGTTATGACTCACTCACTCTAGCCAACTCCTCTCCATTCCTGGAGCACCATGCCACTATCTCCCTCTAACCTCAGCAGTCTTCTGCTGCGGAAAGAACAGGGGGACTTGGACTTGGCCAGGCCTTTTTCTCGTTGCTTTCTCCATAGCTATTCTCCCATGAGCCTGGGCCATTCATCTCCCTGGTGACCTGAATCTGAACTAAGAGACCGATGTAGGGTGGCTGAGGCCAGGGTGGTAATATGCTCCCTTATCTCTATGCCCCTCACTGGGGCCTAGTTAATTTTCCCTTTGATTTTAATATAGATTTATTGAAAGTTTCAGTTATGAAAACAAACTGCAGAAGCAAATTGGTGTTCTTTGCAGGCCTACAAGTGCCTATAAAGCTGCCATGTTCGGGAACGAATGGCGCTCTCTGGGAGGTCAGTCATGGCAACAGGAAATCCCCAGGGACACACACACTGCAGTTTAATATTTTTCTTATTAGCCTTTTTCTTCTTTGCTATCTAAGCCTCCCCTTTAAATCGGAAATCAAATGGAGCCAGCTGCCTGAGGAGGCTCTTTCCCAAGCTGTTCTACTTTCTCTGCCTACTCTATCTGCTCTCTAATCCTTGCTTCCTGTCTCCCCCTGCCTCTCTGACTTCACCCTGCCTTGCCCCCCGGGCTCAGAGAAAATTACAATCACACGCCCCACAGGTGTAGCTCTGATATATCAAGAAATGTCCCATATCCCTGTCCTATCTGTATGAGGTCCCCCTGGGCTACCCAACCTCTAGTCAGAGGCAAGGCATTCCCACAAAAGATTGTGGCCCCAGGCTCCTTCCAAATCTGGTGTGTAGAAGGGAAGAAAATGTAGAGTTTAAAAGAAAAGACACTGCTTTCAAAAAGGCATGTAGTAGTGTCAGGATCTATTGGACTAGAAAGAAACAAACAGATGATGATGGTCTTAGAGAATGGGCAACTTCTGCCAGCCCAAGAATTGACCAGCCTGGTTTCTTGCCTTCAGTGTCCCAGTCGCTCCTGTAGTGAGAACTACTCACTGATACCTAAGCTGTAGAATTAGTTCTGTTTGAAGAGAGAGGTTCCCTGGAGTCCCCATACCCTGGTTAACTTGAGGGTACCATCTGCACTCTGGGACTGAGATGCTACTGGGTCAACCATCACATCCCAATTCCCAGTATCCTCTCCTTGTTCATGAACATTGCCCACCACCAGAACTATGATTAATAATACTAAGGGCTCTGAAAACTGTAACTATACAGCTAGAGTGGTAAAAGGTAGTAAAGTTAAAACCTAGAAAATTCATGATTTGAGTCCTGGCTCTAATGCTTACTGACCCTGTGACTCGAGGAATCCTTGTGGCTTCACTGTACCTTATGATTACATTCACTCTTGTCTAAGCACTATTCTGTAATAAAATGATTGCCTGTGTGTCTCTCTCCTGCAATATTCTGAGATCCTCAAGGGAAAGGACTATGTCTTAATCATCTTCATATTTTATGTGTATTTGTTTGATAAATAAGTGAAGTTAACTTTCTGGGCCTGCTTCCTCAACTACAAAATGGAGAATCTACGTCACCAATATAGTGAAGAAAGCACCTCTTACAGTACTCACTCAGCATAAGGGAAGTACTTAGTGAGTAAAGCATCCTTCACTCTTTACTTGACTTTGCTCAAGAGCCACTGGAGGGGCTGGAGATTTAGCTCAGCGGCATAAGCGCCTGCCTTGCAAGCAGGCAGCCGTGAGTTCAATCCCCGGTACCGATAAAAAGGAAAAAGACAAAAAAAAAAAAAAAAAAAAAGAGCCACTGGACTCCCACCCTTAC